ATAAAAACTGCAAAGTCACATTTCAACTTTGTTTTAAAGCAATGTCCTTTAAAAATTGTTATAGTGGATACCCATATGAAAAAACGGTATTAACTCTAATTTATTATTTTGAATGTAAATAAAAAAGATGCATCATAGTTGATAGGTCTTGAAGTCACAAACACCTGCATTCAATTCCTGTCTATAACATGTTGGCTGTGTGACCCTGAGTAAATTCCTCAGTACTCACAGGCAACTAACTAGGACTTTAAGAGGCAAAGAAGATAGTCCAAACAACAGGATTTCTTTTAAGTGTACATGAATATTTTTAAAAAATTTTAATGTAAACATAATATGACCCTCAAGTGCTTTTTAAAAGCAAAGGGGACAGGCTATATTCTTTTCTCCCCCTTATCAAGCAAATTCCACTAAATAAGAACAAAATCAATAACATTTATTGTAAAAAAGAGAATGATTGGGAATATATGGTTTTACAAAGTAAATAAATTTGACAGGAAATCTGTGATATTCCAAATCCAATATGCCTAAACATTACTTTCTTCTTTTGATTTCTATGTAAAATGATGCTGTGATATTTATAACAGTGTATCCCAAATGATAGAAAGACAAGTTACACTACTATACTTCTAGATAATTTACATTCTCTTTGACATTTTAGTCATCAACAAAGTCTTCACCCTTAAAAGTTCATCTAACGAAAAAAGTGAAGGAATCCACAAATGATGTATGGTGCCCAAAACGTATTTTACTTACAGGAATAAAACACTATTCAACAAGCAAATATTAGCATCTAGCATGCACCAAACACTGTTCTAGGACCAGAGAGATACAAAGACAAAAGGGAAAACAGTTCCTGTCCTCAAGGAAATGACAGTCAAGTCAAAGGAGACCATATGTCCGTAAGTTATTAGCAGCTGGGGAATCAGCAAAGGCATCAGGCAGAAGATTACACCTGACCTATCCTTGAAACAATTTAGAAGAGAATGCATTCCTGGCATCGGGTGGACAGCCAGTGTAAAGGCAGAAAGCAAAAGCATCAGGCAAGAGATTTACACCCGACCTACCCTTGAAACAATTTAGGAGGGACTGAATTCCTGGCATTGGGGAGACAGCCAGTATAAAGGCAGAAAGAGTTACCATGTATGAGGAACAGCAAAGGTAGCCAACTTGCTGGCCTAAGGAACTTTTCACTGTTCCACTCAAACTATTTTGACAATGCCATTTGAAATGTACCACTTGTTACCATGATGCATTATTTCTTTTTGCCTATTTAAAAACAAAATAAACAAAACAAGGTTTTTAAACAGGTACATATTGAAAAGCCAGAGACAATTTAAAAGGAATTAAAAATGGAAATAGAACTAATAAATGATAGTAATTATTCACATTTATATAATGCTGAGCTTTGCAAAGGGAAATTTGTACAACAACCCTGATGGGTAGGCAGTAATATTATCCCTTATTTACAGTTGAGGAAACTTGAAGCTCAGGAACAATAAAAGATTTGCCCATTAACACAGCCAGTAAATTCAGAGGCAAGACTAAAACACAAGTCTACTGACTTTAACTCTATTTCCACTAAAGTGCCTAATTTATTATTAATAAATCTTTCTATGAGTTGGTTCTGTCATAGAAACAGTTCTATGCACTGTTCTTTCAGTTGCTCTTAATAGCATTAGATATTTACTGAATACAATTTTGCTGAAACTAGAAGAAAATTCTCTCTACAGATAATGGTTTAACAAATATCGACGATTTAAACCACAAAGCATATTGAATTTGAGAATGCTTTGAGAGCATCAGATAAAATTTAAACTGTTAACAGTACTTCACAAATATATCATCTAATATTTAAAAAAATTAAACTCTTAAAAGAGATCATGTATATGATGTAATAAAACTTTTACAAATGAAGAAAAAAAGGTTAAGTGGTCCAAATTCAACAGCAAAGGCTATTTACACATTCTAATTAGAACCCGAGTATCTACTTATCCAGGGTTTTATCAATACTTCCCACGAGTTTTCAGTGATTTCTCATGTATGAAATGGCATAATTTCTGCACTTATTATGGACATGGCAGCCAAATAAAACACAAAAAGATCCTCCCTCTTGGCTTCTATATACCACTTTTTTTTCCCCAGTCTCTTCTACTACTTCTTTCTACAGGTGCTCCTGAAATATGGGTGACTTCCAAGATTCTACCTCTGTTTCAGGCCCCTGGACCTAGATGGCTCAGAAAGAGAAAGTGAGGCTGCTGACTTTGCACAGCCTTCCCTCACTCAAATCCAATTCACTTGCAAGTTATGGCATCACCTTTCTGATGCCATTTTCCTCTTCGAGAACAAAGTAAAAACCATACAACCACAATCTCTGTTCCATTACTGGGTAGAGTAGAAAGTGAACTAGACTTAGTAATAAAGGACCTGAGTTCAAAACACAGTTACATCTAGTTATGTCTATAACTTGCACAAAGTATTTAACCTCTCTGAGCCTCATTTTCCACATCTCTAAAACGAAGATGTTTTCTAAGGTCTTTTGTGGCTGTTAATTCTAGATGCTAAGATGTCTTTCATCTTCTCATCTATTTCTACACTCCTTCTAATAAGTTAACTTTAATAATACCCTTTATAAGAATAACTGCTAAATCTGTATCTCTACACTCAAATAACCAACAGTTCTCTCTCTCTACCAGGATGTTCCTTTCACACCTCATACTTGGGTTCAAAACCGAGCTCTCTCTCACCCCTTATCTCTTAACTGTTGCTAAGACCAGTCAATTTCATCTTTGCAATACCTCTCTAATGTGCCCTATTTCTCCTGACACTGCCACCACCCGGGTTGGCACCCTTATCTCCTCATGCTTGGACTCCTCTAACAGCCTCCTAATTGGTTTCCCTGCCTCAAGTCTTTCCCCAATCCAGTCCATTCTCCACTTGGCTGTCAAAGTAATCTTCCTAAACCACAAGTCTGAACATGTGACCTCCCTACTAAATAAACTCCAGTGTCTCCCTTTGGGGAAAAAAAAAAGATAAAAAAACTGGTGTTTAAAGTCCTTTATAACACAGCCCCTCCCTACTTTTCCAGTCTTCATACAACTTGAATGCCCCCCCATTCTTCAATCCGGTGACAATGGCCTCCCAAATCCTAGAACAAGACAATCTCTCTCTTGGCTCTGGGCATTTTCACTGGCTGTCCCCCATGCCTAGAATGTTTCTCTCTCCTCATCTCCACGTCCTACCATCCTTCAAATCCCAGATAAAAACCCCACTATCTACAGAAGCCTTGCCCAATCTCAATTCTATTGTCTTCCGTCTAATGATTATTTCCTATTTATCTTGTATAAAGGAGAGAAAAGAAGGGACTAAAGATTTATTAAGTGTCTATGTGCCAGGCTTTGTGCTAAGCACATAACGAGTATCTCATTTCATTTTCACAACCACCTGGGTTATAGGTGCTATTATGGTATCTATTTTGGAGTTGATGAAGCAGAGGCAGACAGAAGTAGTGACTTGTTCTGGATTCATAGCTAGTGTCTAAGACTAAATTTAAACTCATATTTTCCTGACTGCACATACAGTTTTCTACCCACTGAGCCACCTAGCTGCCTTGTTTGTATGTAGTTGTTAAAATGTTTTCTCTAAATGTTTTTCCCTCTTTCAAGGGCTTTTCTTTGCATTCTCATCCCTCAACAGAGTGCCTGACATGTAGCAGGCTCTTAAATGATTTTGCCTGACTAATGGAATCAGGGTGCAATTAGACATATATTCTTTGTTCATAGTCAATCAAGGAATTTGTTTTACCTAACTATTCAAATTTTATACAAGGATTTGGTTTTTCTCCTCATCTCCACCCTTGATTTGGGAGAATAAGGAGAGAAAATAGATTTTTGTTCACTGAGAAAGAAAATTATATAATTTTTAAAAGAAAATTTTGAATCTCATTATACTGCTGCAATGTAGTTGTCTGTTGGTGGTAGACTGGGGTATATTGTTGGTGATTTCCCTGTTGTAATCTGCTTCCTGCCCATACACTTCTTTGTTTGCCAAGCCCACTTGGATTGCACAGAACTCGTTTCCAGGCTATTAAGTTCCAAGTACACAAAATTTTTTGACACTGAACTAACCTATGGACTTACTGCACTAAAAGGCCTCTGTTCCCAGAATCGATGAACTCCTACAGACTTTCCTGTGACAATTTATTTGAATGCTGACAAAATACTAACTGCATATTTTGATTTCAATATCTATTTCACTGAATCTAAGAACAAATTTTCATAGATTAAAGGAACCTTAAAAGTCACCTAGTCTAACACCCCAATTTTACTATTCATTTATCCCATCCTCTCAGACAAGGAAACTGAAGCCCAGAAGAGTCAAGTGACCTGCTGAAGGGTCAAAACAGTAATAAATGGCACAGCCAGGTCAACCAATTCCAATGTTGTTTCCACTTTGCTCTACAGACTCCTGCTGTGGTTGGTTCATTAATTTATAGAATGGCAGAAAAAACTAATTCAGGAAAACTTCTGTAGGAAGTGTTCTACCCTTTAAGAGTCACATTTTATTTACAGAGATTTTCAAATATTTAGTATTTCATTCATTTTCAGTCACACCTTAAACAAAATTACTAGAATCCTTCATTCCAATCTAGAAGAGCTAAGTATAAAGGAAAAAAAAATTTTTCCATTAGCTTTTGTTATAAAATTGTAGACATTTTGGTATAAGAAAAAACAATCCACTAAGTCAAAAATTTTGGAGAACACAAGTAAAAATTTAAAATAATCCCTTGATAGAGTGGACAAAGTACAGTTCCACATTCCCCAAACATACTGTTAACTGCCTTTCACCAATCATAGGAAATGAAAATCAAGCAACTAAGTAAAATGCTACTATTTACACAGATCTTTTAAATTTTTCAATTGATTTTGAAATAAAAGTTAAATAAGTCACTAAAGCATTTTATAACAGTAAAAAATAATTTTAAAATATAGAGACTTACTCACCAGTAAAAATATCCCCTGCTGAAAAAGAAACATCTTTATCGTATTTAACATTCAAACGCACTGGCTTTTCAGGGTCTGGAAGAACCATTAGCCTAATTATAGGTCCTTCTAGGGAATTCTTGTTGTAGGTTGCTTTAATCTGTATAGTATGTTCTCCCCTTTAAAAAAAATTGAGTTACAATAGTTATCATACAAAAATTATGAAATTATCTAAACACATTCCATTTAGGGAACCCATTTATTTGCATTTCCAATGTTTTAGGCTGCTTCATATTATTAAATGGTAATGTTCAAACTAGTTATCCTTTACTGGGAAGACATGGGAAAAGAGAAAAATCTCAACATGTATGTTTATATATAGGATTATTCTTCTGAAATATAACAAAATGGAAGAGATAGAGTTTAAAGGATATAAATTACCTCCCTTAACATACAGTTTGTACCAAAGGACTACGCTCTTCATCCTCCAAGCAGTTATGTTCTAATACCAAATACAAGGATCAAAGTGCACAACGAAGAGATTATTTATTCAGCAACTCCTAAGGAAAATGAAGCTATATAGTTGCACTACTTCTTAAAACAATTTGATACTTACCTAGGGGCAGAAACAGTAAAAACTCCCAAATCAGCCCTGCCACTGTCATCAGTTTTATGCTGCTGATTTGAAGGGCTGAGCTGTAAAGAAAATAACTGACAGTTAACAAAACAAACAAACAAACAAAAAAACTCGCAATTACTCTAGAAACAACTTTCTTTTTCTATTTTTGCCAACAATTTTATTACAATTGAATCACAAATTATTTTCTGATTAATGTCCACCAAATCAACATTGCTTTAATCCTATATATGTAGCTGACACAATTAATTCCTACAGTCTTCAGTATTTTCCTGTATTTTCAGTATTATTACTCCTGATATGGCTTTACATAACTCCATGCCTAATCATGACCCTAAGAGTAACCCAGTTTAGTTCTACAGTGTCTACTCAAGAATCTGTAGCCCCTGTTACCTCCTCTCTCTTCCCCTGACAAACCCCAGTGCTGGATGACTCCCACCATCCACCTCCTCCTTTCTGACTTGCATACAGTTAAATAGAACAGGAAGAACTCACAAAGCCATGTTAATTGAGTCCATTACAAATTTATATTATCTACTTGACCCTCACTGTAGCAAAGAAATCCTCTGAAATATATTGTTTTAATTTTTTTTTCCATTTCGTTTTACAGGAACTATTTCAAAACTCTTCTCAAGGGTCTCTCACCAATCCCTCTAATCCAAAGGCCTCACTTCAAATTATACTGAGAAAATGGAAACCTTGCCATTTCCTAAAACTTTGATATTATCAACCTCCATTCTTTCTGCCTTTATTTAAGTAAAGACTACTCCAATCTCTGATGAAGAGATGGCCTTTCTCGTAACGAAGGTCAAACTACCTATATGTATTCTTCCACAGTCTCATTCACAATCTTTCTCTAGAAGCACCTTCTCCCTAACCTTACATTGTCTTTCCCTATGTACTGGTTCCTTCTATGCTTCCTACAAATATACTTAGATATCCTCCTTTCCTAAACCTTAAAAGCCCTCCCTAACTGTAAAAAACCATATCAAAGTGTCATCCTCTATCTGTCTTGCCTGTATCAGCAAAATTTTTGGCCTCCAATTCTCTTGTCCCATTCACTTTTCAATCCTTTGCAACTTGGCTTTCAACTTCATGGCTCAAATGAAACTATGCTCTAAAGTCACCAATGATTTCCTAAAATATTTGATGGCCTTATATAAAACTTCATCCTTTTTGATCTTTCAATATCATTTAATGCTACTAACTACCCTGTCATCCTGGACTCTTTGTGGCATCACTCTCTCAGTTATCTACTGTTTTTCAGGCTCCTTTGCTACATCATTGGATCCCAAACTGTGGATATAACTAAGGCTCTGTTCTAGGCCCCATTCTTTTCACTCTTCTATGGTAACTATATTAACCCCATCGATTTAATCATTATACCAATGACTCATCGAGCTATATATTCTGCCTTAGTCTGTCTCCTGAACTCAGGTCCCACAGTACCAATTACTCAGAGATGCTTTCAAACTCCATATACTGGGACCATCTAAAATGCAATGTGTTCAAATCAAAAATCATTTCCTTTTTTTCCAAAATTCATCTTTCTACCCAACTTGTCCATAGTTATCAAGGTCACCAGTATCATTCCAGGCACCCAGATTCTTTACAATCTTCCTGAAAACCTCTAAATCCTCCAATGAAGGACTGTGAACCTCATTCGCCCCACATATCCAAACAATTCCCATAGTATTTTTATCTCCACAATATTTTTTCCATCCATCTCCATATCTGATAACCTCTGGGTTGTACTATGGCAATAGCCTCCCCATTGGTCTTCCCATCTTGAATCTTCTACCACTCTGATCCATTCTCTCCTAGCTAACAAAGTGATTTTCCTAAGGAATAGGTCTAATCATTTCACTTGCCTCCCTCCTCAATGAATACCAGCAGCAATCTATTATCATTAGGATCATTTATAAACTCCTCTGCTGAGTTTTAAAGTATTTCACAACCAGGAGCCAACATTTCTTTCTAGTTTATTACATTATCATTACCTTTTGTACACTCTACTATGATCCAGCAAAAATTTGGCCTTTTTACTGTTTCTCAAGTATAATAATCCATTTCTAATTTCCATGCCTTTCACTTATCCTTTCTCACACAGGCACAGAAATGTTCACCCTTCTCATCTCTTCCTTTCTGAATATAAGGTATACTTCAAAACATAGCTCATTTGATCGTCTACATAAAGTCTTTACTGTTTACCTCTGTAAAATCACTTCCCATTTATATCATATTTGTTCTGTATAGTCTCTTCCCATAGAATATAAAATCCTTTTAAAGGGAAGGACTTTCATTATTTCTTTTTTATCCCAAGCTTCTGGCACCAAGTAGGCTTTTGACAAATGGTTATTGATTCGTTTATTCATCTAGTCTACAAACGCTGCAAAAACTGGAATCTTTTAGACAATATCTTTTGACAAGTAGTTAACAAAACTATCATCTAAACAAATATTTGTAGCACTGGCAATTACAGGGAGGTCATTACCATTCTAGACTGTTCATTCTATACTGGACTGGATCCAATGTAATTATGTACCTTAAATAAAACACCACTTATTCATGTTGGAAAATATTAAGATTAGAATTGCTTTGAAAACCAGAAGCATGATTGTTTATCTGTTAGTATTTTGAAGTGTATAATGTCTAGTGAAGTGGCTAGAAGGTTTTACCAGAGCAAGATAAATTGCCTTTTCATTTGTTTATTCTAATACTCTAGACAGGAAGTGTACCAGGATGGCAGCTGTTGAGTAAAAAGAAGAGGAAATATACAAGAGTAGGTAGAGGTAGAAGGTAGGAATAGGTGGGTAGGTTAAGGTAGAAATGACAAGACTTGATAACAGACTGGATAACCGAGAGAGGAAAGACTATCCAGGAAAGAATGATACCCAGTGTCAAAAGATGCAGAGAGGGGCAGCTAGGTGGTGCAGTGGATAGAGTACAGGCCCTGAAGTCAGGAGGACTTGAGTTCAAATCCAGCCTCAGACAGTGTGACCCTGGGCAAGGCACTTAAACCCACTTGGACTCAGTCAAAAGGCCACACCCACAGACCTAGAAGGCCTTGAGGCCCCAGGTTACCCATCCCTGAGGAATCTTTATAAACAAGATCTCACTGAAGCCTCAAGACAAATCTAAGAGGTATGTGATTTAAGAAGAGAACCATTATCTTTCAGTGATCCTGAAATTTACTCTCTGACGCTAAGCAACAAATTGAAGACCCATATCACTTAACAAATTGTACACTTTAAAAAATATATGTGAGCAAATATGTTGAATTTACTCTGGCATCATATAAGGAGGTTCAGGCCATCAGTTCAACTTAATGAATAATTTTAAAAAAAACCTCATGACTGGGGTTTTCTTTAATGTGAATTCTCAGTATTAGTACTTAGTAAAAAGCACTGAACTAATCCTGTTAAAAGACCATTCTACATACTTCATGAGCATTAAAACTTCCAGGTGGGGTTTTGTGAGGGAGAGGAGACATGAAAACTGTTCTTGCCTCATTTAGACCATATGGTAGGGAAATAAATGTTTACATTACAATACATAAAACTGTTACAAAGAAACAAGATTTGACACAATTCAGAATTATCATCCTAACATACTTAATACTCAAAGATTGATACTTACTTTTAAGATGGCTGCTTTCACAAGACTTATTTTAACTAGTGGTACTGGGGAAGGATTTTCCCACTGATCACAAAGCTGAACTGTAAGGGGGTTTGGTAATTCTTTTCCATTTATCACTGGAATAGGCTGAAATACAGAAAAATATTTTAGGCAATACTAAAAATAATGTACCAGATTTCATGGTATATGGTCATTTTTTTTATTCACCAAAAGAGAGGTTTGATCACTTTAAAGTAATGTTATATTGGTTTGTTCTTACTTCTGGAATTCTACAAGAACCAGATTTCTAAAAGTAGTTCCTGTGAAAGATACCTCTTCCCCAACTCAAGAGTCAGCAAATGGCCTCTTCAATAAAATGGAGAACTGACCAAAGCAAATATCCTCCCAAGTGAACAACTTTTATGTTGATGATTACTTTCTAACTTAGGGAGAAAATAAGAGTAGGGTTAACTAACCAATATTGGCTTATACAGACCTCTATCAATCTCTCTCTCTCTCTCTCTCTCTCTCTCTCTCTCTCTCTCTCACACACACACACCTTTTGAAATCTACAAACCTAATCTTGACAAACAGAACCATCCATAGTTGTACTCAGATGTCTCCATCTTGGTTTTAAGGCAAACCTGGGATGCTCAGTATAGTTAAAAACAAAAAGTTAAACATCATTTCTCTGGGGACTTGGTGATGAATTCTTTATTCTATGGGTGCCACAAAGAAAGAAAAATGCAAAACCCAGTTTGGTCCTATGCAGTAACCTTGAATTTCTTTAGTGACAGAGGCAGAATAGCAGAAAAAGGAGAAGAATTTTAGATTGCAGTTTTTAGACTATACATAAATATGAACCCATCTAATCAGCACTCCAAATGTGAGATTCTCTTTTAATGACCAGTGAATCAACAGACTACTCAAGGAATGGAATCATATCCATCCAACATTCTTACTATAAATAAAACCAGAAACCACAATGAAGTTGTAGCTAAATGGAAGAGTGGCTGACAAGTTTTCCTTGAAGAGGCAAATAAAGGAATTGAACTGTATGTTCATCCAAAAAAGAAGTATCATTCCATGTGATACTGCATGATACTGAATCTTATGAATATAAGATTGCTTGCAAAGAGACTACCATGAAAATGGCAGAGCATGGAGAACTGTCCGTAGGAGAGGGTGAAGAGATGAGGGAATTTTGCTAAGAACTCCAAAAGACTCTCAAAATTCAATAAAAGCATGCTTTGCTATCCAGTAATGGAAACACACAAGTGGCCATAGGGGAAAATGGCAAAAAGGGTTAATAGAAAACATGACTCTGGAATAATAAAGTAAAGAAGTCAATGGACTGTTGACTCATCAGAAGCCTGACATATATGTATTACGAACACTTTTAAAAAATTAGAAGGTCAACAACATAAGAAGCTCCATATTAAACAGAATTAATTTCAGATATGTTTGCTTTTAAGAGAAAGGAAATGACAAGTCAACAAGGTAGCATTCTTTTCCAAAATTAGCTTTGTATAGTCAGATGATCAACTTGTTAGAGGAAAGAGTGAAATCAATGAAACTGGAAGATCATAATACAGATAAGGGATGAAGCTGGGGCAAATTCAACCAAACCTATTTAAACAAAGTGGTGTTGACCCTCCCCCTCAAATGAAAAATGATTAAGAGAACAGGCATTGACACATATTACTACCATTTCCTAAGAAAGTTTAATGAATATGAAGGCTAATCCTCCCAAAGTGACCAAAAGAGCTTAGAAATCATTTCTGCATGCGCGCGCGCACGCACACACACACACACACACACCCCCCACAAGATTCCAAGGAGAATAAGCAGTCCAGAGCAGTGGTGGGTAACCTGCAGCCTCAAGACCACATGTGGCCTTCTAGGTCCTTGGATGCAGCCTTTTGACTGAGTCCAAGTTTTACAGAACAAGTCCTTTTATTAAGGGGATTTGTTCTGTGAAGTTTGGATTCAGTCAAAGGGTCTTGAGGACTTGAGGACCTAGAGGGCCACATGTGGCCTCTCAGACACCAATTCACCACCCTTGGACTCTAGAGTAACATAATTTAAAAGTAAAAAAAAGTTTGGAAGACCTCCCAGAGGGGGGTGGTGGAAGATAATGAGCAGTATAATTTTATCAAACAATGTGAAACAGCAGAAGGAAAGAGAAGTTTAATAAAGCTTGGTGAGAGACTCATTCTAAACACAATTAAGGATGAAACTGGATGGACAACAGGCAAAAAAGAAAAAGAACTTCTAAAGAGCTTTATAGCTATATTTACCATAACTGACAATTGAACTACCACATTGAACTTAACATCCCAACCCTTGATTGCATGAGTTAATAGGAACAGTCTCAAGAAAATAAAGACAGGGAGAACCACTGGCCTAGACCAAGTATACACAGAGAACTATGTGCTGGAAGCAACACAATTTTGATGAAATTGAGAAAGTAATTCTCAAGGTAACTGAAAAGGGGGAGTATACTAAAGGCTTGGAAAAAAAATATTTTATTACTACCAAAATAAATGACCAAGAGAATATTATTATTAATGCATTTGTCCTTTCCCACTTCAAGAAAATTTTAAAGGTAATAAATCAGCTAAAGAAAATATGAGAACAGAATGATTTTTGCAAATGATAGTCTCAAGAAAACAACTTTAGAATCACAAAATTAATTTAAAAAATAAAAAATTCAAGGTCAACTGAATGTTTGTTGACTATAAAAATTATTTTATCTGGTAGAGGAAAATACTGTCTTAAGGGCTCTCTTCCCAAAACTCATTTTTCACATATATTCCAAAATCCTGCTGGAGTCTTTGACATATGTAACAGACATAACTTTGTCCAATAGCTTTCTAATTATGACTACAAAAGCATAAAACAAACATAAAGGCACCAAAAGTTTTTGCCACTGTCAGAAATCCAGTACAGAGCTGAAATTGAAAAGGTCTTCAACTGTTCCTATTGCTAGATAACATTGTTCTAAACTACATCAGGACAAAGAAGACTATAGAGCCTCCTAAATGAGATCCATAATCACTCAAATGAGTCAGGCCTAACTTTCTCAAAGGACAAACAAAGTTGATGAAGAATGCCTATTGTTCAGATTTTAATGTAAAGTTATACCAGAATTAACAGAAGTACAGGGAAGATGGATCACTTGTGGAAAACCACATGTTTTTAATGACCCCAAGTTTATTAGTGATACAAAGGAATATCACATTACTTCCAGTGGTACTAATGGTGATAAAATCATGTGATATCATAGTCTCCAAAGTACCAAAGTTAAGGGTCACTCAAAGAAAAATGGAGAAGACTATATAGTTGGTCTGAGTACTGTTGCAAGACATTAGCAATCAAGATTCATGTAAGAGAAATAAATATAAAATATATACTCAGAGCTGCATTAACAGAAAATCGGGCGAACCACTTATGTGGCAGGAGAAATGGATAACTGGTAGATAAACCATATGTTTCATTGGTCTTCATGAAATGTCAAGAGAACTAAGGACAGCCCCAGACATATCAGGCATATCCCTATAGAGTATTTTCAGCTCATGAAGAGGAGACAGTACAAAAAGGTTGTATCACTGGAAGGTTTACCCACACCAATGAAAACACTGATCCATAAAAGTAACAAATTAAAACACTACTTTTAAATTTTTTTAAATCAATGAAGGTCACACCTTTTCCCCTCCTATCCCCTCACACCCCCCACATTGAGTAGGAAAGAAAAATAACACCCGTTATAAACACAAATTGTCAAGTGAAACAAATTCTCACATTGGCCATGCTGGAAAACAATGTTTCAATCTTCACTGAGTCCATTAACTCTCAACCAGGAGGTGGAAAGCATGCATTATTCCATTCCTCTTCAACTGTGGTAGTTCACTACATTGATTAAAGTTCAAAGTCTTTCAAAGCTGTTATCAGATGAATTGTGCTAGTTTTGCTCCTTACTCCACTTGAGTTCATGTAAGTCTTCCAAGGTTTCTCTTATAACCACTCCTTTAATTTGAGGGTGGGGGCGGGGGCCCAATGGTGCTAAATTCAAACAAAAACCTGGATCCCTTTTCGCCACATATTGATTTAGAAAAACACAAATTAACATTATCTACGTTGTATCATATGTTTACTCTCTTAAATATTTCCCAATTACATTTCAATCTAGTTCAGGCAGAACTCCACAGTCCTGTAGGCCCTTACATCCTGACAACACAGAATTTGACCTCTGTCTCACAGAACAAAGTATTCCAACACATTCATATACCATAACTGTTTCAGCCATTCACCAACTGATGAACATTCCCTGGGTTTCCAATTCATTGCCAATGCAAAATAAGCTATAATAAATATTATTGCACACATGGGACATTTTCATCTTTTTCTAATCTCTATGGGGTATAGACTCAATAGTGATACTGATAGGTCAAAGGTATACACAATTTAATAGCTTTGGGGCATAGTCCCAAAAAGCTTTCCAGTATGACTGGATCAGCTCATAGCTCTACCAAGGCATCAATGTACCTGTTTTCCCACAACTCCTCCAGCATAAGTCACTTTGCTTTTTGGTCTAGTTTGCTAATCTGATTGGAATAAGATAAAACTACCAGAGTAAACAGCTCTTTCTTGTTGTTGTCATTCAGTTGTTTCAGTGGTAATAAAAAACAAACAAACAAACAAATGAAAAACCTCCAAATGAAAGCAAAAGAACAGACATGCAGAGAGACAGCCACTGCTGCCACCTAATTGGGGCTTGTTTTGAGACAGGGAGAGGAGATCTTTGCCCTACTCTGCCCATCAGCTATATTTCTGGCCCCACATGTCTATTTTCCATCCATCTGCACTCAGTCTCATGTGTCTCTCCCCCACCACCCATGCTCTTCCTCTTACTTCCTGCCCACATGGCCAGCCTAGCTCCCACATGTTCCTGTCCTCCTGCTTTTGCATCTCTGTTCCTGACCCCCACGTCCTTAAAACATGTGCTACCCTCCCCCCAGTTCTGTGGTCCCCTTCCCTACCTCCACAGGCAAATTCACATTAGGTAAAAATCGTCTGTGGACTCAATTGGGTGTGGAAATCTGTCTTACCCTACAGGAAAACGGGGGGGAAAGGGACAAGAGAGC